ACTGCAACTTATTATATATTTGTTTATTTAATAAAAATTCTAAATTCATACTTGCTTTTTTTTGTAAATGGATCAATCTTTTACTAGTTTATTATGGCTTTTTGTGCAATATTGTCCCATTTAATTCATGATTTATACACATTTTCCATGACTTCAACAAAAAGTTAAGAACTGATCAATGGAGTTTAATTTAAAAGAAAATAATAATATTAATATTAGTTTTTATACTGAAACAGAAGAAACTGCAAGTATAACAAACAGATTTGTTTTGTAGTTAGAGATATATAAAATGTGTTTATATATATATATATATATATATATATATATATATATATATATATATATATATATATAATGTTGTGTCCTATACAATAATTTTAAATGGAAAAACCATACAAGTTACAAGAAAATAGTTTATTTATTCAAAATAATATTTCATCAAAGTGTCATGTCTAATTAAATGTCATTTGTAAGCCTTTTTGTAAGGTAGCATTGTGTGCAGGGTGTCTGCAGGGTCTTAAAAAATATTAAAAGTTGAAAAATCAATTTAGAGAAATGTAAGGCCCTTAAAAAGTCTTAAATGCTGTTACAAAGTATTACATGTAGCATCATTTTTGATTACAAATTTGTATAATTATAGTTGTATGCTAAAGTTTTAAATTTTGAGATGCAGTGTAGTTTATGAAATCAATAAAATCCTGCTATATTTGATGTCACACTGCGTTGTTAAGGGACAACGGCAGCACCATTATTTTTGCTGTTCTATATAGGCGAAACCTTCTGGATTAACATTTTTATAAAATATATGAATGATGTTTAAGTTTAGGATTAGTTTCTTACAATCAGTCATGGTTTCCGCTACATTCATTCTTCGTGGTGGGGCGCCACACCAAAATTCATCCCACAACGGCTACATTACAGCTTCTCATTCAAAACATTTAGTCGTTTTTTAAATAGCGGGTTATAATCTCACCAAAGCATATTAAAAAGTAAGTGAATTATAACAGCACAAACCTTTCTGTAATCATAGTAGTGCTGTGCAGTTTCCATAATTATACGTTATTTATAGATAAAGGTCTGTGGCTCTGCATATAATGACTTTATCTTGCTGGAGTTTATAGCCATTTCACTTTACTTTAGGATGCATTAATGCTGCTCTGTTAGTCTATTGGAGACATTTATAAATATTCCTAGCAAATCTAATAAATGTTTTAGACATACTCGTTACATAAACACACTAAATCACACTTCAGCAGTGTTTATTTGAGGGCGCAAGAAAATCTGCACTTGAGCAGTAAATATTTGAGGGCACGCAAGAAGTTTTGTGCACAAACAGAGGAAATCGGCGCTCGAGCAGAGATTGACATGCTCGTAGGCTATTACAGAAATGCAATCTCGACTTAATACCTCACCCACAACATTTGTCAATGAAATAACGCCACATGTGGAAGATCTGTGTAAAATGCTCATCAGAGTCTGCCGCCACAACTAAAAAAAAATCCTAGAGGAAACACTGAATCAGTATTTAGTGAATATATTTAAAATGTCACCAATGCTACCTGTTCAGACCTATAGTGGCGATGAGCTCTTAAAATGTCTGGGGAGAGTCTTAAAAAAGGTCTTACAAGGTTTTGGATTTTACTCTTTGATTCCTTTATATACTCTGGTGAGTCTCAGTGGATTTTTTTCTTTTCAGTGATGTGATTTCTATTTAGTTCTTTAAAGTATTAACTGTACATAATCAAAAATATAGTTGATTAAATTCATTGCAATGCAGTGTTTCTTTAAGAAGTGCAAAAGTTTAATTTGTGGCTAAGTCAATGCATTTTTAACACAAGAAATCCACTAGCATATCTGAGAAAAGGTCAGTATTATCAGACTTTTTATATTCAGTAAAGCCAGTATAAATGACTTCAGTTGCTATAAATAGCTTGTTTTTCCCTGTGAGATTCGAGCAAAATATTGAACCCAAATTGAATCTGACAGCACATTATGAATCTCACCAGCTCAAAGGGGCTACTTTAGCATCTGATTAAAGGTTTAATAATGCAATGCTTCTCCTGGTCTTTGTGTGGCTGCATTGAGTTTTAAGACACTACCACAGATGCATCAAGGTTAATTTATGGAGCCTCTTTCATATTTTCTCAAAGCCTTGTATTTGTTGCCATCCTTCTGTGAAGCATATCTGAGTCTGTCATTTTTAATTTCTCATCTGACGCAGTCAGGTTTTGACGTTGCTTTGGGTCACCCAATCTGTTGTGCGAATAGTCTTTGTCAGTTTAAATAATGTCACCAACTGGAATGTCACTGGTTTTTCTTCCCCATGCTTCATTTCATCATGTACTTCATTATACCCTACTGATGGCAACAGATGTGAAATATACTATGTGTGAGAGTAGAAGTGTGTGTGTGTGTCTGTCTCCACATCTACACATCCATCAAGGCTATCAATATATTTGTTCTCTTTTCATTCCTTCTCAGATGCCCCTGTTTTAAACTAAGAACTCAGTAAATGCACAACAACACAGCCTGAAACAGCTAAAAGTTTCACCCTTCCACTGTGATACATTTAAGAGCAAGTCAAATTAATCAGCTGAAATTAACTACACACAGCATTTGACTTCATTGCTCAAGATGACAGCTTGAAAACAAGGACATTTGAGTTGACACTTAATTTTTTGATTGATAGTATCAAGAAAGTACAGGTCACTGGAAGGAAGAGAAAAGGGTCAAAATATAAATTGTTCCACCATCTTACATTGAGCAATTGAGTGCATGTTTACATGACAGTTTCTTAAAAGCTTTTAACGGCATTTTAGGCATCTAAAATATTTAGTCTGTTAAAAAACAAGTTTTTTTGACATATTAATACACTGTAAAAAAATGGTTGTGATTTAAATTATAAAACTGTTAAAAAATGCTACAGTAGAAATTTGTAACCTTGTTAACTAAGTTCCCTGCATGACACTTCACTGTTTTTGTTAACATTACCATGGTTCTTTAAAAAAAAGTTTATGATAATGTACATTATTTGCAGCTAATGTTGATAAATAATGTTTATTCCATTACTTTAATTGTATGTGTGTTACAATAACGATGCCCTTTGATATAGTATGCTTCACAGTTGTTTAATATTAGCATGTTTTCTCATCACCACAAGCTTATGGTTGTGTTATTGTCTATGCATTTGTATAAGTAACAAAAAAGCTGATGTTTAGATTTTAGTACACCCAACATTGGTGTATTAACATTTTAAAAGAATAAAATTAAGTAGTTTATCATAAAAAATATTCATGTTATGGTTTGTGCTGTATTTTTAATGGTAAAATACTGGCAACCACAGCTTCTTCTTTTTTTTTTTTAAAGACCAGAAATGACATCACCACCTACTGGTCTGGCATGCATCATTCAGTTTAATTTAGTAGTTTTGAAAGATCTGTGTAAATCAGGGGTCTCAAACTCCTGGCGAGTGGGCCATTTACAGCCTGTCCCTCCTTTTCCCTCCCAGCCCGCAATTGACGTCAAAAATATGAGATTCGGCCCCCCAAAGCATATGTTTTTGAATCACTATCCATATTGTGCTGTTGCGTATACTGTACTTGTGGTTTTGACCCACCACTTATTTGGCGTTTAAAGTACTACACTATTTTATACTGTATTTCAGTTTTACTTTTGTTTTGTTTTTCAGCATGCATTTGTGAGAAACGCACATGCAGATTGTTTCTGTGGCTGATTTAAACACTGAAATAAATGTGCATAAGTGCTCTATTGTTAGTAAAACTATTTTTGTAAATATTCAAGGGTCATTTGGTTATTATCAATTTTATACCACCTGTATTTTGTTAAACAAACACTTCATGGCTCATACAATATTCTGATGATGTAACAAATATGTACATTTTTGCTATAATTCAATTCAAATGGTCTGACAGATTTTCTCAATATGCGTATTAGGATTTCTATAATACCTATCTACATTTTACTGCTGGTTGAATTGAGCAAGTTAAAGTTAATGTGAATATATGCTTACTTTCCCTTTCTATGCTGTAATTTTACAAAAAAGAAAGATACCAAGAAGAACAACTGCCAGTAAAGTCAGTAAAGTTACCCAAACAGTTTTTGCTGTTCTTGCGCTGTCTGTTAAATTTTTGGTAAAGCAACAATTATATAGGACAGAGTAATGATATTTATTATTATCATTATTATGTCATCATTATCATTATATATATTATTATTTAAGTGTCAAACTGTTAATTTAAACAGCCACAGATATATTTCAGCAGTTGAGTGAAGCAAAAAATGTGCTGATTTGCACTATCACTGGTGACAGGTAATGCTTGAAATATAAACATTAGGTCTGTTGTGCTAAGATGCGTCTATTATGTCTTTTTTTTTTTCATGTCCTTGAATGTTAAAATGGCCCTCCTATAAATTGTCAGTCACTGAAATGGCCTCCTGCCAATTTGAGTTTGAGACCTCTGGAATAAACATTGATAAGAATTTTAAACATAAAAGTTTTAAAAACTGAAAGAACTGTATCCAGAAAAGAAAAAATAAATAAATCAATAAAAAAAAAAAAAAAATATATATATATATATATACATACATACATATATATATACATACATACATACATACATATATATATATATATATATATATATATATATATATATAAGTATATAGTGTATGGATCTAGCATACAAGACAAGTGCATTGAAAACAGCAGGGTTCCTTGCACATTGATAAATGTCACTACATGTACACTAAAAAGTGGCCCACACCAAGCATCAGTATTACGAGATAAGATACAAAAGCTGCCACTGGGGTGGTGCTTTTAAATAGGTTATACTTTTGTAAGGATACATATCGTTATCATTGAAGGTATAGTATGTACTATTACTTACTGTAAATGCTCCATATACCTTAATACTACTTGCAAGTACCTAAAAAGTGTGTGGTTTTGATTTGAGTAAACAAATCACAGGAAGATTGTTTGTGGTTTGTGTATTTGTCATCTTTTTATTAATGCACTAATGAACATACATTAAGTAACAGAATAACAAAAGACTGCAGTTTACACGTGAAGAAAAAATAACAGCAGGTTCTCTTCTAATAGAACAGAAAAACAGTTTTTTAATTGTCAAGAATGCAGAAACAGAGAGTAAAATACTAGTACAATTAAGTTTTTCCACAAAACGAATAAGATTATATGGTGAGATCGAAAGATCATATGCATTATGGTTTTGCAAACAGTAGCATTTGAAAGCATAAACCATTTTCCTTGTGTGCAGGAGAGATGTCTTTGTTTCTCATGGACTGGTTTTACGGACATTTCTCAAATGCATGGTGAAGTTTCTGGGAAGTCCTTGTCTGATAAATTCTTCCTGGAGCTGAAACATGATTTGTTTTTTTTTGTTTGTGAATTATTTGCGAGCTCTTTAAAATTGTTTTGATGTACTCAACTCTTAGAATTGTTTTTACCTGTATAATCAACTGCTCTTCAATCTGAGACTGCGATAAATTTTCGGCACTTGTAAGTTTCACTCTCAGTCCCATCACTAATAAGAGAAAAACAAAACTGGTCAGAACTTTTGGACATGCAAGAATGATTTAGCAGAAAATACCTTATTTACACACGCCTACCATACACATCTGAAATGACACGGTGGGATGATTGTCATGTTCACCAGAAAGCAAAAAAAGACGTAAAAAGGTTAAGCATAAAAGATTATTGAATTTACAATTTAAGCATTTCATTATAAACGGTACATTTTCTTACCACTCTAACAGAAGAAGGGCAAGCTGGCAAAACATCTCTCATCTGACCACTGACCAAAGTATTTTAAAGACACTGTTGTACAGTGTTGGGCCCCCTGCTCTCCTGGGACATTTGCACCATTATCTGGTTGTGCATCAACACCTGCAGTCCATGGCAGCCAATATGTGAAGGAATATGTGCTGTTCCTGGAAACAACATTCCATTCAGCCAATCATAATTAAGGCATATGATTACTGATTATGTTAATTTTATGCTTACGTTTAGGTTTATGACCTTCTACATGATTATCCAACTATTATTCCCCTCTAATTTTGGGAATAATTTACAGTTTTGATTGGGTTTAGGGATAAGAAAATGTAGGGGTTGTAAATAGGTATGGATTACATTTTCGAAACAAAAATGTTATTCTAGGATCAACATAGAAGTTAATCCATGAATCGCATTGTACTTTGCAAAATCATGACATGCCAAATGTGCAGGTGCAGTACTAGAGATACAATACAGAGAGCAGAAAACCATGACCAGGTTCTTACATAATAAGAATTATAAAGGTTTGACATCAGCTTTTATCATCACTGCAGGCAAATCTGATATAATAATCATTTATGTAAAGTGATTACATTTAAGATTTACAAAGTCTTACCATCATAGCAAGCAAATGTAAAAGAATTGTCACATGATGAATCAAACCACTTTTCACTCCTGTCCATGTACACACACATTTCATTCCCGTTATAGTTGTTTGGTTCATAAAACCAGTTTCTGAAGTCTCTTTCTCCTTCCTGATAGAAATCATTGTTTTCCAGTGACCATCTCCAGCTGTTCACATCATCATACTGACCAATCCAGGCTGAACCATTGTAACTGTCATTGACTGTGCTAATCAGCCTGTTCATTTCCTCCATGTTATCAATGGTGGCCAGATCAGTGTAACTCTGCCTGCAGAATGTCTGAGCTTCAGTCCAGCTCATAGACTGATTCACAAAGTGATACTGATGGGATGATGCTAAAGCTGTCAATGAGAAGCAATGATTATATTTTTATATAAATAAAATAATCTAAAAACTGTGATCCTCTATCACAGATTAGAAAATTCAAGTGTCAATAATACTTTATAAATAAACAAGTAAAGTTTATTTATAAAGTGATTTCGAAAGGATCACATGCTTATGATTGCTTGCGGCTGATCCCACATTATTCAATTTATGATTCACCAATCAGATGATTCCAAAGTTCCATATAACAGCCATCTTCATTTTGAAGAATCCCCCTCCACCCCTACTCCTCTCCCTTTTCTAGATGGGTGGCACGGTGGCACAGTGGTTAGCACTGTTGTCTTACAGCAAGAACGTCACTGGTTCTAGTCCTTACCAAGCCAGCCAACGTTTCTGTGCCGAGTTTACACATCCTCCCTGTGTTCACATGGGTTTCCCGGTGGATTCCCCGGTTTCCTCCCACAGTCCAAAAACATGCAACTTAAGTTAATTGACTAATACAAATCAGCACCATAGACATCGTAGTAAGTAGTTATCTCTTTAGAGCAATCTCTATCTGTTCATAAGCTACTACAGCAGTGGAGTTCTCGATATCCACCTGAGCTCAAACTCCCCTCTCGCCAACGGGAGGGAGCCCTGGGCTCAAAGATCTTATAAGCTTAGTTCTCTCTCCGGGGACATCATGCCAAACAAGCTTTATAATCAATCATTAGCTAAGTGTGAACTCTTGAACTAAAGACAAAATCAGAATGCAACAATAGTTTATTTTTATTAAAGCTAAACATTTGGTAGATTTGTAACATAATTAATAAGAATAATGTAACATAATTTATAGCAACATACAGTTGCCATTTAAAGCTTTAACAATGCATGCCACTTAAAAGATACAGTAATCTAATATTTTAGGTGCCTTATGTAAAGACTACTTGAAATAAAAACAAATCTGCAGAATTACTCTATCGTGAATGATCTACTCACCACTGTAGCAAATGAAAGGAAAGGCAGTATTGCAGTTTTCATCTGTCCAGCTCCCAGAGTCACTGAATGACACAGCAGTGCAGTATTCACTGTTTCCAGCATTATCTGGCTGTCCTGACCTCCAGTTACTGAATGAAGAGTTGCTCTGATCTGACTAAGACCTGCTTCTGTACAGTCCAATCCAAACAACGTAATAATTTGTAATTACTGACTGAACCCTGTAGTTCTCCATCTCATTCCTGATACTGACGATGTCTGTGTGATTTTCTCTGCAGTAACTCTGAGCTTCAGTCCAGTTTTTGAATTGATTAACAAACACATAACTTGAACCTGCATTTGTTCTTTCTGCAAACAACAACAAGTTAATTAAGTTAACTGTTAGGTAAAACGGTATCAAAATCTTCGATTTTGAAAATGTGTTGTTTTAGTTAATTAGCCCCTGGAAATTCTTACCATCATAGCAAACAAATGGTATGGCAAAGGAGCAAGAGGCTTCACTTCATATTCCCCAATAATATGACATGTACACACACAGACTCTGTCCATCCCAGTTTCTTGGTTGCTGAACAAACCAGCTTTTAAATCCCATACCTAAAGCTGCGTTATCCAGGGACCATCTCCAATTATTTGGATCATCATACAGTCCAATCCAACCTTTGCCATAGTAAGTCCCACGAACTGTTTTAATCAGCCTGTTCATTTCCTCCATGTAATCAATGGTGGCCAGATCAGTGTAATTCTGTCTGCAGAATCTCTGAGCATCTGTCCAACTCAAAGATTGATTCACAAAGTGATACTGACGAGCACACAAAGATCTAGAGCAAATCACTGTATAATAAAAAGGTAAAATTTTAACACATTTTATTTTCACTCGATGAATCCCTTTTAACCAACACAATCAAACAATTAACTTACTTTTGTAGCAAATGAAAGGCATTTTGGTAAGGCAGTTTTCATCAGTCCATTGTCCTAAATGTCTGAAATATACGGCTGTACAGAGCTGAAAGCCCCACTGACCATAATCATATTCACCATTGTCTGGTTGAGGTTGTGAAGAGGGAATAGCTGGTTTCCAGTTTTCATAACTTGTAATCTGTTGGTCAGACCAAACCCTATTTCTGTAGAGTCCGATCCAGACTCCTCCACCTGCTGTCTCAAGAATCTTCTGGTTTTCAGTCTGATTTCTCATATTAACGAGATCTGTGTAATAATCTCTGCAGTATCTACGAGCCTCTGTCCAGGTTTTACTGAAATTGATTCTGATGTAACTCTGTATGGCGTTCTGTCTACCTGATGTCGGAAATATTTAAAACATCAAATGTATGAAAAGAAATTTGTGAGTTATGAGGTAACATTTAAAAATGCCTTACCATCAAAGCAAATGAATGGCAGTATGTTGTCACATGACACATCATACCATTTACCATCATGATTCATGTAAACACACAGTTCTTTTCCACCACTGTTGTCAGGTTCATGATAAAAGTTCCTGTAATCTCTTTCTCCTTCCTGATAGAAATTATTGTCTTGCAGTGACCATCTCCAGCTGTTCACATCATCATACTGACCAACCAGGCTGAACCGCTGTAACTGCCATTGACTGTGTTAATCAGCCTGTTCATTTCCTCCATTTTATCAATGGTGGCCAGATCAGTGTAATTCTGTCTGCAGAATCTCTGAGCTTCAGTCCAGTTCAAAGACTGATTCACAAAGTAATACTGACAGGATGATCCCAGCAATGACACTGTGGGAAAAGTGTAAAATTAAAGCAATACCTTTGTTGCATTCTCAACTGTGTAATACTGGTCCTTAAGAAAGATATTTACTCACCACTGTAGCAAAAGAAAGGTAATGTTATATTGCAGTTTTCATCTGTCCAGCTCCCAGAGTCACTGAATGACACAGCAGTGCAGTATTCACTGTTTCCAGCATTATCAGGCTGTCCTGACCTCCAGTTACTGAATGAAGAGTTGCTCTGATCTGACCAAGACCTGCTTCTGTACAGTCCAATCCAAACAGAATAATAATAATAATAATAATAACTATATGGAATTACTCACTGTACCCTGTAGTTCTCAATCTCATTCCTGATACTGACAAGGTCTGTGTGATGCTCTCTGCAGTAACTCTGAGCCTCAGTCCAGGTTTTGTGCTGATGAATAAAAACATAACTAGCACTGGAGTTCTGTCTTCCTAAAAAATATAAATCATATTCATATCATATTCATATCATATTTAGCTTATTAAAATAATAAAACATTACTTTTTCTACTGTCCTATATACAGTAATAAAAAACAACACTTTTTCAGATGAAGGAAGCAGCTCACCATCATAGCAGATAAAAGGGCATATTTCTGTGCAGTATGCCATGTACCATATCCCACTGTAAATATATACACACAGTCTTTGTCCTCCATAATTGTTTGGCACTAAGTTATTCCAGTTTCTGAATTCTTTCTCTCCTGCCTTGAAAAAATCTCTGTCCTCCAGAGTCCATCTCCAGCTTTTCAGATCATCGTAGAGTCCAATCCAGGCCAAATCAATGGAATCATCATTCACTGTGTCCAGTAACTGGATTGTCTGTTGTTCATTTTTAATGGTGGCCAGATCAGTGTATTTATCTCTACAGTATCTCTGAGCTTCTGCCCAAGTCTTGGATTTATTCACAAACACATACTGACGAGGAACACTCAAGGTCAAGGTTATAAAACCTGTTTAAGAGTGACATTATCAGATTTAGATTCATCAATCATGCCTTTTCAGAGATGATATACTGTAACTTACCGTATAGTAGAACGAGTAAAAACATATCTGTGAAAAAAAGCACTTTTTAATAATCTTTAAATGGAGAATTTTATAATGATTTTCTATTTTTTATTTGTAGGTAGATTTGTATAGAAGCACAACAAGTGCAATAATTATAAACATTCTTCAATGGAATTGTTTTGCATAATAGGAAAATATATATTTTTATTTAGCCTTACACAATGTGTTTAAAAATAAAGCTTTGTTTGATTTACCTTAAGATTTTCTTAGTTGCCGTTTTCAGATCATGTGACCGCCGCTGTATTTATAATGGTTGGCAAAGTAGGGGTGGATCATTTCTTTAAATACTTTTGACATCATGAAACTTGGATCATATAGCAGTCCTATCAAATGTACTCTGTAAGAACATTGTGATTGTACTATAACAATGATCAAAAAGGCTTAGTGTTTGTGTTCTGCTTTAAACTGGTTGTGTTTTTCATTTCAAAGAAAAGAACTTCTATTATTATCCATGCAATTACTTATGTCCAACTATGTGGATTACATGCATGAATGCTTTGGGGATTTTCAGTGTCTGTTGTTGTTGTTCAATAGGGGATTTCACAGTGAGTAGCTAGAATCTTTACCAACCTATTTCCCTATAACAAAATTATCCCATGAAGGCTGTTAAATAAACAAATGTCTTGTAACTCTTTGAATTATTGTGCCAGTGTATTGTATGGGCATGCATGGACCAAGCCAACGTATACTTAATTAGGTAGTTTCTATTGCAGGTTAAACATTCTTCTGATTTAGGAGCTAATTTCATTCGAAAGGTTTCACTACAGTATAACTAAGATCATTTCCGGTTGCTGCAGTGTAAATACTCCCCAATGAGGGTATTTTGTCAATTGTTCCTTTTGTTAATTTAATGTAATGACCTTTTTTTTCTGTGTACCTTTTAGGACTTCACAATTATTCTTACTTATTTTATTGACTGATCACAAATTAAATAAATAATTTTTAATATTTAATAATAATTATTTTATATTATATAACATATTACTATTTTCTAAAATGCTTCTTCTTTTATATTTAATCTAAAACTGTAGGTTTTATGTTAACATTCATGTACTCATTTATATTACCATTAAGCCTTTAATTCATGGCTTTGAAACTTTCTACACCTTTAAATTTCAATTTTAACTCCACCATAACCAGTGGAAATGTGGGAAAATAGCATTTATATCAAAGTAATTTACTAAGTACATTATTACTGAAATAAAGGCTAATTCATATATACACTACAAAACCCAATAAGTTAAGGTATCTCAAACCATTTGAGGAAACCAATTGCAACAAACCATTAAAGTTAAAAAAAATTATCTAAACGAGCACTTTGAACTTGATCTATTTGAGTAAAAAAGCAATTTGAGCACAGTCAAAACCAATAAATGAAGAGAACTTAAACCAACCGAGTACTCAATAAGTTAAGGCAACTCAACTCAATAAGTTAAGGCAACTCAAACCGTTTGAGAAAATCGATTGCAACAAACCATTTGAGTTCAAAAACTAATCTATATAGGTACTGTGAACTTACTCCATTTAAGTTGACACAATGAGGTATTTAATTAACTCATTATCTTTATTGCTGAGTTCGAAACTCTTTTTAAATCAAAGTTGACTTTAGTGTTTTACAGTGTATGAATAAATCTTCCTTTGGAAATAATTTCTATACTGTATAAAATTGTAGCCATTTTTAGTGTTGCGTTAAAAAAAAACGTGAAAATAAAACTTTTAATAATGCTTTTATTTGTAATAATTTAAGAATACAATGACAGGCATAAAGATATATTATGATTCAAAGAATAAATGATTGAAGTTCTTGTAAACATTAAAGCTTCTTTTCTTGATTCTTCAGTTTACTTTCATAATCTGTGTAACATTAAGCATACACCTTCAAATCAAAACAAATCATCATCATACTTGAATCTTCATCAGGAAAAAAATCGACTAGAATAGACTTAAACGGATTAAGTGATTCATCTCAATGACCTCTGAGCTTAGAAACAAGTTACATTTTTAAAGCCCAAAAGCTGTATTCAAAGCTACACCGTGCTGTGAAGGTTCCTCCATCAGGGTTTGATCTTCTGCAAGTCTCTTGGACTCATGGTGAAGTTGCCGGAAACTCCATGTTTGATCAACTCTTCTTGTAACTGAAAACATTTGAGATTTATGACAAATCACGTGTTGGAATATCAGTCAAATTATTTTGCCATCATTAATGCATTCGATTTACTAGTGTTTATTGCGTCCCCATTGGGCAAATTATGCTACGTAGCCCTGTGAGAAAACTGTTTATCAACATTGTTAAAAAAATCTGTATGTGTGTGTGTGTGTGTGCGTGTGTGTGTGTGTGTGTGCGTGTGTGTGTGTGTGTGTGTGTGTGTGTGTGTGTGTGTGTGTGTGTGTGTGTGTGTGTGTGCGTGTGTGTACTTATTAATGTGGTTTACAAGGATATGCGTATGACATACATGTCCTTTTTTTAAGGTGCATTATGAGGACATATCCCGTGTCCTCTTAATTTGAAACTCTTAAAAATCATAGTTAATGGTGTCTTTTGACATTCAAACTTTGCCACATGTTTTCTGACAGAGTTTGGTTTAGGGGTAGGGCCAACTAATAAGCAATTATTTTACTGTATGAATACAATGTCTATTAATTGTCCTCACAAACCACATATACAGAGTTTGTTTTTGGCTTAAAGTTATAGCTTTTATAGTACCAATCTTTATGTACTGGTGATAAATGATCCGTTGACTTACCCGTATAATGACCTTCTGTTCAATCTGAGACAAATTGTCTAGAGTTGAAACTTTCACTCTCAGTCCCACCACTGAAAACAAAAACAAAATTATAATACGACCAATAATAAAGGTTAATAAAGCTAATTCACAATAATGTAACGTTTTAATATAGTGTAAATGCAGTACTATTGTACATAAACATACCATACTCATTCAGAAAGGTCAGTTGGTGTTCTGGTCAAAAATAAAAAGTAGACTGTTGTTAGTCAAATCAAAATTTCCCTGCGTTTACAATCTTTCACTTTCTTTATGGGCTCATTATTGTATGTAACAACCTGGTTAAATGTATTTTTAGAGAAACTTACCACTGTAACAGAAAAAAGGCAAACTGTTAAAGCATCTCTCATCTGTCCACCTGCCGAAGTATTTTAAAGAAACAGTTGTACAGTGTTGAGCTTGATACTGTCCTGGGATACTTAATCCATTATCTGGCTGTGGATCACTACTCTGAGTCCATGGCAGCCAGTATGAGAATGAAGAGTTGCTCTGATCTGACCACAGTCTGTTTCTGTACAGACCAATCCAGATATCATAACCAAAATTTCCAGAGCCTGTAATGCTCAGTATCTGTTGCAGCTCTGTCTCACTTCTCACACTGGCCAGGTCTGTGTTTCTCTCTCTGCAGTAGTTCTGAGCGTCTCTCCATGTGTTTCTCTCAGTAACCAAAACATAGATTTGAGTGCTTTCTTCAAAATGAAACAAATAATACATCTTTATGTAATAGCTTTACATTAATTATAGGTTTTTTAACCAAGGATAAATTTACAAGACTTTTTTAAAATCTAAATTAAAGTGTACTTTTTGGCAATTCTTGACACAAAATTATTTTTGGACTAAATTGCGAAGATGTGAAAGTGTATTTTAAAGTGCACTTTTAAAGTGCAAAGGAAAGCAACAGTACCATTATAATCTTTGTGCAAACTACTAAATGTGATTTTTGTGAAAATGGTGCTGGCATGCACATGTGTTTTGTGTTCAGTCTACTTGTTAGGGTTTATTAGCTGGATTCAGTTATTGTTGATTTGACAAGATCCAGGATCATTTCGTTCTTCAAAACTCATCCGAGAGTTGTTGTCATAGCAACAGTTCTGGTAGCTCAAACCTGCTTGGGAACAGGTTTATTTCATATAAACATGATTCGATCGGCTCATTTCAAGCAAAAGTAATACTGAATGTATGTACCGAATGCTGATACTTTCTTACAGTAGTAACCTATAGATCAGGGATCACCAAACTTGTTCCTCAAGGTCCGGTGTCCTGCAGATTTTAGCTCCAACCCTAATCTAACACACCTGAACAAGGTAATCAAGGTCTTACTAGGTATACTTGAAACACCCAGACAGGTGTGTTGAGGCAAGTTGGAGCTAAACCCTGCTGGGCACCAGACCTCCAGGATCGAGATTGGTGACCCCTGCTATAGTATACAATTGGGAAAAAAGTTAAATAGTTTTAAAAAAGTATATACATACAC